ATAATAAATAGCTTAAAAAGATCTTTAAAAAAATAGTAAAATTTATAACTATAATTAAAAAAATCCTAAAAAATTTCCTAAATTATATAAAAATTTAAAAAAAGTACTATTAATATAATTTAAACTATTATATAATTAAACTATAATAAAAGGGGATATTTTTATATTTATTAATAAATTATTAGGAAGTTAATTATAGGATTTTAAATTAAAGGTAAGAATAATTATAAATTTAAATAAAAAAGGCTTAAAGGATTATAATAATTAATTATATAAACTTATAACCCTTAAAGGAATATTTAAGTTAAATTAATATATTAAAGGAATAATAAGAAAGGAATTTAATATAATTAAAAAGCTTTAAAAAGAATTAAAATAACCCTTAAGTTTAATTAAAAAAAGTAGCAGAATATATTAGCCTTATTAAAAAGTACATTTAGCTAATATTAAGGAAATAACTATAAGCTTATTAAATAAAGACCTAATTAAAAATTATATAATAATTAAAAGGTTTTAAAATTAATTTAAAAAAGGTAAAGTAATTTAGGATTAATTTAATAATAGTTAAAAGATTAAACTAATAAAAAAGGATCTATTAAAATAAAGTAAAAAAAGCCCTTAAAAACTTAAAAAAGCTAATAAAAGGCTTTAAAGTAAACCTTTAAAGATTTAAGCTAAAAATAATAAATATATTAAAATATATATTATTTTTATAATAATAATATATAAGGAATAAAAGATTACCTCCTTAAATAATTATAATTAATTAAACTTTATAAATACTTACTTTTTTAATTAGTTAAAAGCTATTTATAAAAGTAATTAAAAATATAAAATAGTATATATAATATTTATAACTATTATAAAGCAATTTAAGCTTAAATAATTAAAGGTTATATTAAAAAAACTATATAAATATTATAAAGATAATCTTTTTTATCCTTTTTTTAAAAGTTAAAAAAAGTTTAATAAGTATTTATTAAGTAATCTTTTTAAGAAAAATGTAATTTAAGAAATTAAAAACCTTAAAAAAAGCAAAGTATTTAAAATTATTAAATATATTAAAGCTAAATATAAACTATTACCCCTAAAGTAAGTCTTTACTTATAAGTTTAATAAAAAAGGCTATTTATAAACTTATAAATTTAAAATAATAGTTTAAGGTAATTTTTAATTTAAAAATATATTTTAATTAATTTATATTATTATATTTATAATAAAGATATTCTATTTAATAATAGCTTTAATTACTTATAATAATTTAAAAATTTAATAATTTAATAGAATAGTAGCTTTTTTAAATATTAAAAAAGATAATAAAAGGTTTATAATATATTAACTATTTAATAAATTTAAAAAAGGAAATAAAGTAACCCTTTTTAATAAAGCATTATATAGTTTAAAAGATTTATTATTCCTATAGTATTAAAAGTTTATATTTACTTTAAAGAAATTTAAAATAATCCCCTTATTAAAGGAATCCTATTTATTTTATATATTTAATTATATAATATATATTATATTTTATATTAATAATTTTTTAATGCTATTTATAAAGAAATATAAAAAATAGGTAGAAAAGATTATTAATAGGATTAAATTAATATATAATTTTAAAGAATAAAGCAATATTAATTAATTTTTAAAGATTAAAGTAATTAAAAATAAAAGTACCTAAATTATAATATTACTTTATAATTAATATATTAAAAAGATTATAAACTATTATAAATTAATTAATAATAGTTAAATTTTAATTATTCCTTTTTTATATAAAAAACTTTTATTATATAAAGGAAAACCTTTTAAAAATTAAATTAAAGCTTTTTAAAATTATATAGGTTTAATATTATATATTATAATTATATTAAAGCTTAATATAGCATTTATAACTGCTTTATTATTTAAATTCCTAATTAATTTTAATTAAAGGTATATAATTATTATTAATTAAATTATATATTATTTATATTATACCTATTACTTTAAAATTATCTATAAAGGTAATAAAGAGAATATATAAGCTTTATTAATTATTAATAATATATTATTTATTAATAATAAAAAGATAAAGTACTTTTTATATAGGTTTATTATATTTCTATTTAAGGGTATAATTAATTAAAAAGCTATTTATTAAAGTATAATATTTATATTAACTATTAAAGTTAAAGTTTTAGCTTTAAAAATAATTAATATAAAGATTATAATGCTATATAAGTTATTTTATAATTTTTAATATAAATTAAACTTTAAATAAATGATTTATTTAAATAATACTTAAATAATTTACTTAATTATAAAGAAGTATAAAAGGATTAATATTTACCTTTATTATATTAATATTTAAAATATATAAATTAGGTAAAAATATTATAAAAACTTTTTTAAGGTTATTTATTTATTAATATAGGAAATGCTAATTAATAAGCTTATAAAAAATTTAAAATAAATATAATTTAAATATTTTTATACTTTTTTAAATTTATAAAATATATATTATTTAATATTAAAATAAATATATAATTAATTAAAAAATTAATTATAAATATAGGGCCTTTAAAAAAATAACGTTTTATAATTTAATAATTATAAGGCAAACTTCCTATAAAAGTATAATATATTAGTTTAATTCTTTAAATATACCCTTTAAAAGGGTATATATATATAAAATATTAATAATAATAATAGGAATAAATATAATAATAATAATAGGTATAGAAATAATAATAAAAATAGCTAATAAAGTAAACTTTACTTTTAGGATTATTAAAAGTATATAATAAGCTATATATAAGTATATAACTTTTTATAAAATTTTAAAGTTAATATTTATAAAAATAAAAAGCTAAACTTATAATTATTTATAATTATTAATATTATATTTAATAATAATGCTTAAAATACTATAAAGAATTAAATTATTATAAGGATAACTATTATAAGTTTAAATATAAAATAAATTAATTAACTAATATTTAAAAGATTATAAAATTAAAAAAGAAGTATTTATATTAAAGTATAGGTATATTTAAAGGTATATTAATAATATTAATATTTATATATTATATTAAAATAGCTAACCCCTTAGTTAGAAGTTAATATACCGTATATATATAGTAAATATAGTATAATATATTTATTTACTTAAGTAGGGTATAATTGTAAAAAGGGAGGGGGGTGCTAGGGTATAGGTAATAATATTAATAGTAATATTAATAATAATATAAGAGGAAAAGGGGGAATATTACTATTATATCTATAGCTATAGTTATAATAAAAGTAGAAATTATATCTATTAAAAATATAAAATTAATAATTATATAAACCTTATCCTTTAAAATTATATATTATTAAAAATAAAGCTAAAGAGATTATTTATATTATAATAATAATAATAATAATAGTAATAATAATAATAGTAATAATAATAATAGTTATAATTGTTATTATTATTAATAGTATTATTAAAGCTATATTTATATTAGTTAAAGCTCTTTTTAACCTATTTTTAATTATATGCATTTAAAAAAAAGAAAAGAAAAACCTATTAATTAAAAGCTTATATTAATTTATTAAAATAAATATAAATTAATTAATAATTTAATTAAAGGGTAATAATATACTTTAAAATATTTATATAAAATATAGTTTATAAAGCTAAAGAAAAAAAAAGGAAAAGAATTAAAAGTTAATATAATAATAAAAGTATATAAAGGCTATTATAAATATATTTATAATTTATTTATACTATAGTTACTTAATTAATTAATATTAATAATATTTATAATATATATTTATAAATATTAATTTAAACTTTTTATTTATATTTATAAATGTATAAGTATATATTTATATAAGCTTATATAATTATAAAGGCTTTATAATAAAGGTATATAATTATAAAAGAAGCTATTATAAAAGTTTATTTTTTATTTATATTATAGTTAGCTTTATAATTATTATAAATAATAAGGCTAAGGGGGTATATTAGACATTAATGGAGTTAAGGAGTAGGTTAATAAGGGTTTTAAAATCGTATATATATTTAATATACCGTTCAATTGCCTTTCAGATAGAATTTAACTAGCTAGAGCATTTAATACTACCTTGAACTGATCCTTCGAACGTACTGCAGGAGCCCTAAGGCCCACCTACGTCCGAGATCAACTTCTACCGCTGGAACAAGATCTCCTTAAATCGGATTCCGAAGAGCAACTATCAAGTCAGCCCAAAGGTGCGGAACTTCACAAAGTTCTGAAGTCTCGCATCGCTTGGCTTAAATTTTATACAGGTCGTCACGACGAGGCAAAAAAACTAGTTTCTGAAATTCTCGACGATCCCCTAGCCGATCCTCGCGTAATCAGCGGATGTGGATGTTATGATATTTTACATGAAATTGCAGTTGCTGAAAACAAGCACGAAACTGCTCTTGATGCCCTGTATAAGGCAGTCGCAGCTTCAGTTGAGGGATATGGGTATGGCCACTGCGTGACTGTGCGCAATATTTTGGCCTTAGAGGCCTACTTAAAAGGTATAGGTAGCTCAGAGGAGGCAGAAAAAGTCCATTATGACTCTGAGTTGCAATTGGAGCAGATATGTAACCAAATTCGGGGCCTATGGCTCTAGTGTAGAATTTGTGTGAACACGAAGGATATTTGGGCATTTTCAGGGAGACATAAGGCCGGGCCAAGATATAGATTAATTATATTGTAAACACGAAGAGAAAGCTGTAACACAGAATTCTTTAGACTACCTCAAGGGAATTCTATAATTATTGCGCCATTGCGGGTAAAGCGGTCAAACCCGCAGCAGACTCACCCCATGTTCTCTACGGTAGATAAGCCCATGGTCCTGACCCTGGCCCCTTAACGTTGGAGTACGAAATCAAACAAAGTAACCCCGGTAAACTCACTAATACTAATGTAGCAATCGTCTCTTAACGGGCGGATACGCAACGCTGTCAGCTCTGGAGAAAAAGCGGTGGCATGGCACGTTCTCCGGGACTCAATCGACTTATTAGCGTTCCTCATAGCAGAATACGTTGCTGCGCTCTGTGACTCAAACTATACTTTAGTTTAGCGACTGCAACCACCTACTTGATATATTATTCGAGTTCACCTGCGAAGACTCTTGTAGTATATGTCTAGGCAATGGGCGTACCATATCGAGCAGTCACCACGTTGGCGGTATTAGTGGCGTTGGCAGCAGTTTTCCTATCATCCAAACCACCCGCCACATCCGACAGTTCATTTTCTCCAATTCCGGGCAGAAATGGCACTGTTCTATTTTTCATTAACACTGAATATGGCCTCAGCAATGTGCATCTGGCAACCGCTAGTGGACTCCTAGAGAAATATCCGTGTACTGAGATTCACGTTGCATCTTTTCCTCGAACAGCCTCGAAGTTGCGAAAGCTATCCACTTTGGCGCGGCGCAAGTCACCCGCCACGAGAAACATCTACTTTCATGAACTCCCTGGACCGGAATATTCAAAAGCATTTTCGGCACGCCTCGGCACACACGGAAACTTCGTTCATCATCTTATGCATCCTCCTGGAATGAAGGGGCTGGGTACCATAACCAGCCAGGTCCAAGCTGCAATATCACCATGGGAGGCCGAAGATCACATCAAGCTTTTTGACAAGGCAGAAAATATCATCCAAGACGTTGATCCGTCCGTTGTGGTCTTGGATACAACCTTACGGCCAGCCATCCAGGCTGCATGGAAAAGCAACCGAACTCATGCATACATCTCTCCAAATGCACTCGTCGATGCCTTTGCTGGCGACCAACCCTACTGGGGCTTTCTTTGGAAGTATTCCCGGTGCGTTAGATCTATGATAAGCCTCAAGAAATCACTAACATGGGAATTGAAGAATGGGTTCCGATTTTCCTTTCCCAGTGCCATGGCGGAAGATTCCCGAGAATATCATAGTTACAGCCGGGTTCATATATTCAGTTCTTATTCGAAACGACTTTCAATCCACCAAGAAGCAGCTTGAAGCACACGGTATCCAAGATCCTGCCCGCTCTTCGCGTCTAAACAGGCCGTGGATCGCACAGTACCTGCCCGGAGCGAGCATTCCACTTGATTTTATCCCTCCTAATGTTACTTGTACGGGACCCATAGTACTTGATGAGGTGCCAGCTATAGAGCAAGACGCAGAATTGACAGCCTGGTTATCGAGAGCGCCAACAGTACTAATAAACCTTGGCAGTTTATTTACCTATAAAGAGGAGCACGCAAAGACAATGGCGCTGGCCATTGCTAGTATTCTTGCTGAAACTAATGTACAGGTGATCTGGAAGATGAAAAAAGAAGGCGCTTACTCTGACGCCGACGTTTTTTTACCAGTCCAAAAATATATCGAAAAGGGGCGACTTAAAATCTCGGAGTGGTTGGGTGCTAATCCTGTATCTTTACTGGGGACTGGTCATATAATCGCGTCTATTCATCATGGAGGGGCAAATTGCTACAATGAAGCTATCGCGTACGAGACAACCCTCTTTGACATTAGTGCTATCGATTCAGCTAACACTTCCTTCTCCCATGTAGAGCCGGCGTACCACAGGTGATTATTCCCATGTGGTTTGACTTATACAACTATGCCCAGCTAGCCGAAGAGATTGGCGTGGGTGTCTACGCTACAAGAGGTACAGCCCCGAATTGGACAGCTGAAGATCTGCGTAGAAGCTTCCTGAAAGTTGTGGATGGTGGACAAGACAGTCTTCGAATGAGGAACAAGGCTAAAGAGCTTGGTGAATTGGCTCAGAAAGAACCAGGGCGACTTACAGCGGCGAGAGAGATCGCGCGCCTCGCAAGATCAGAGTGTGTCTGAGACGTTACACTAGAGTACAGGACCTATCCAGACAAGTAGGAGTCTGCTTCATCGCGACATTACGTGTTAGTGCAATTGGTTGCGCCCTCTACTACCTACGCACCAGAGTCCGTACTCACACGTGGGTAGATAATGGGCCCCTATTTATGGACCGTCCCTATTTATCAGGCAATAGTGTTTCTTGAGAACTAAAATTCCGCAAATGACTTGAACAGATTGTCAACTCATTGCTCTAATATCTACATCTCCGCAAAGAATGAAGCTAGTACTCAGCGTAGTGCTTGTATACATGTGTAGAGATCTGCTTTCCCTTCCCATCATATCTCTTCGGTAGAACAGTCAATAAACCATCAATATCCCTTGGTTCGTAATCAAGGCCCAAAGCGCCAGCTGTCAGAACGTCAAGGCCATAGTTCTCCTTGATCCAATGTGCTATCATGTCCATCCCTGCAGATGCGCCTGATCCGGTCCAGATATTTCCGTCCACAACCCACTGCTTGTCCATCGACCATTTGACCTGGGGGAGTCGCTTTTTGATCCACGCAAACTCTATGTGGTTAACTGTGGCGTTCTTACCGTCAAGGACACCGGACAATGCTGCCACGTACGCGCCGGTGCACTGCGATAACGGATCAGAACCTATTCACCAAGGCACACATGAATCAAGAGGAATTTCAAGCGCTAAAATAGAGTCGAAATATAGAGGAGCCTTTATGGGTTGGACGAGAAATAGAGTTGAGGAAAGAGAATATCGGCACTCACGGTTGTGAATAGCGGCTTCCCAGCTGCAACATGCCGGCGAATAAAGTCGGCGTACTTCGGATGAAGTTCAAAACCGTCGGGGTTCGGCCCTCCTAAAATCAGGCAGTCCAAGTCTGGACATTCGTCAACGGTGGTGGTCGGTACTATCGTGACGTGACTCGAAAGCAGAGCCACAGGGTTTCTGTTCAGCCCAATATGATGAAAGACGATCTCTGGTGCTCGAGATATAGTTGTTTCATCCATGGGTGCATAGACTTTGACTAATTTCTCGAGAGATTAGCTCTAACTAGCTTTCTATTTATCTAAAGCGCGATAACAGAGGTTGGATAGCATGATGGGAAGAGAAGGGCGGTGCTGAAAAGGTCCCTTACGAGCACTTAACAGATGGCGGCTTGATGAGTTGAGAAGGTCAGTTGGGCCCATAACATCCATTGCCTGATAGTCGTAGACAAGCGCGCCAAAAGTGATGGGTGCCATGTTTCTGAGTTTGGCGAAAATTAACGAGTTAATGAAGATGTTTCTCTAGTAGAATTTCAGGGTCGTATTTGAAAGCTATGGATCTTCTGATGAGTCTCAGGCTTGCACCAGCAGAATACTACAGCTTTTTATACATTTTCTCTCAACAATCAATGACTAAAGCTCCATATGACTGTGCTTTTCATAAGCTTCGTTTGTAACCTCCGAGCCGCAGCGGAGTTGTTACGTACACTCTGCGGACTTGAGACACAAGCGGTCAAATGGTTGGGCGCAACAATGGCTGATCAAAATCTGCTAAACATTTAAGGATAGTTCTATTTCTCACAAGACTATTGCTAACCTTCATATGTAAGGGCCACTCATGTTGAGTCACGGCTCGCATCGGAATTCACGATGCGCGACGAAGGGTTTTAGCAATGTCGGCACAATCGGAAAAGCTCATCTTGGATGTCCACCATCGCACTACGGCCTCTTATAGCTCCGCTAGATGTCTTCCCTAACTGCTCGCGTCGATGCAACACGGAATCAGCCGAGAAGGGGGTGCATGAATCAATTCACGCCCTTAAATGGAGTCGAGGGGCATCACGGCAGCTGCCACCATTGGCTCTAGCCCACAAATGTCGTCTCTGCGACTACCTGGGTCGATCGGAGCGTACCTCCTAACAGCTTACGGAACTTTGAGATTCGGTGGCGTTATTTTTTCATTGATGAAAGTGATCATAGTGATGAATGGATGTAGGCGATAAATAAACTGTGTTTGAATACAGCAACCTCTCTGTTGGATTTGGTATCTTCTCTGTAGTGTAGGTCCATGTCAAAATTCGACTAGATATAAATCGCCTAGCTTCGGGAATTATAGCTCATTTATCGTTGAAGTTGTCAGGAGTAGTTATGTTGCTTCATTCTAACCGACATTTTCTCGTATCGGCGCGGGGACATTGATTATGGATATTCTCCACCAATAGGCCTGAAGAATTCAGAGGAAGACACAAGAATATTTCTGCTTGCTCAAAAAAAACAAAAATACAAAGTAAGGCTGGATACGCCCAAGACATACACATGGGCCATGCCTATTGCTCAATCGTCTGAGCTAGAATGAATGGAAACACTGCTTCTACAAGGAGTGGAGAGACATGGAGCTAACCGCTGACTATTAACCTTATATTCTGTATGCAAATGGATGGCGACTAGTGACAATATGAAGAGGGCTCGAGGAGTCATTGTCTGGCTGCCTGAATGTTTCTCTTGACAATTAGGGCGGATAGTTGACTTTACTGTAAGGGCTTGAAGCTAGCTGGAGCATACAACAGCTACCAACAAACTTCCCAGGGGATTCGACGGAACCTTTCATACAACAACAGCAATTTCAAGGGGGGCACTGAGGTAGTGAGACCAATGTTCCTGGAAATACAGCAAAGACTTGGTGAAGCCAGGCCAAGGCTGCTACCATCAGTTAATAGATATCTTGGAGCATATTGACAGTATTACCTCACATCTTCTGGAAACGCTCGAAACAACTAGTAAGGGGCAGGCATGACTGTGCTGACACGCATTATTTACTTAAAATAAGAATTCGCTATTATTGACCTATCCAGCCCAAATGGATTGGTGTGAAAACCAGCAGAGTGTGCTGGGAATGGCGTAGACTTAAGCATAGCTTTGGTGGCAAAGATCGAAGATAACTATTTGACGAGCTCTAACATTGTAACAACGCTTTCAGACGGGTATAACTTGACCTCAATCCTGGGAATGGCAGCTCCTTTGTATATGACCCTTATAACTTTCACAGATCAACGTCGTAATGAAGCGGAATAGTGAAACAAGAGGAGCACAGAAAACCCCAAGTTGAGGGAAATTGCCTGGTGATCTAAAGTTCAGGTAACTGGGATTACGCATGATAGCAAAGGAAGGTGCAGCAAATTGAATTGCCGTAGAAAAAGTTCAAGGTTGCCATCTAAACATCTGAAACTTCATCTGATCCCCACACTCAAGCCGTTGATCTGTAGCACACATACTGGTACTTAGCAAATATCCAATTATGTTACAAAATCAAACATCGGCTGCTTTTAGCCAAGCTGAGCGTCGTCCTAACTTGTCGCATAACTGTTGCGCATCTGCTTTTGCCGTAGTATGATCCTCGTAACTTGCGACGTTTGAATGCAATATGTAGATCCCAACTATCATCTCGTGTCTGCGCTCTCGGTTGTTCGGGCCGCATCATATCATGCACGTAAACGGAAACGATTGTCCCAGCATTTGGGTTATAAACCCAGTTTGTTGCTTAAACAACTTAGTCTACCATTTCAAATTCATCTCAATTCTCATCATCTGAACTGACTTTCACCCCAAGTAGATCTTGGTCTTTTCGTCCGCAAGTTCTGTGAACTTCCTACATTCTCGTACATAATTCCTTTGACCTACCATACAGGGCGTCGATCGCCGCTACATAGTAATTCAAAAATCCAAAGCCAATTGCAAATATGCAGACAAAGACTATTCTCGCCCTCATCGCTGCGACTAGCGTGTCAGCAGCAAACCTCCGCATCCCACCACGACAGAACCAGAACCAAGGTGACAACAATAATGGTAACGGCCAGGTAGACAACGGAGCAGTCAATTTCGGCCAATGCACGCCGACGATGGACTTCCAGTTGGGTCGCGCGGGACGCAAAGAAGATGAGGGCACGTTTCTGCCCACGGATCCGCTGGTCGCCGAGGGCCAGCAGGACGCGCTTAATCCCAGCATTATCATGAATCGCATCTGCGACCAGCTGATCAACGTCTGCGAAGCCAACGACGCTGCCGTCGCTGCGTGCGATGCTGCTCAAGCATCTACCGAGGCACTCGGGACTAAGGACGCGTCCACTGCGGACGCCTTCAATTCAGCACTGGGGTTTTAAGGGATCTTTCGAGCGGTGAGCCAGGAGATGGGACAGGGTATTGCCGGGTATTATTACGAGGGGAGGCAAAACGGGAAATTGTTCTCGTACCCAGCCATCCTGCTTAATTGCTCATGTTCATCGCCTAGATGGGTACTGTTGCACTGTGAAGGAGCATAATGTGTCAGACAAGCTCAGAGAATTGAGATAATTTCAAAGCTGGATACTTAGTTTTCATGAATTTACTTCTCTTCTTTTCATAATTATTTAGCCCCTCGGTTTTCATTGTACAGGGGATTTTACGGGCACTCATGAAACCCTTATTCTGCTTCAGCGAATATGCGGTAGATAGGTATGTGTAAATCAATACACACTCACTAAACGCAATGAAGGTTTTAAAAAAGAGAAGAAAAGGATGCACAGACCTTATTCTAACCAGTCTACACCTCCATAACTGCAGCGTGTCCCATATTATATCCAACACGTCTTTCATATAAGCCTACCACTGCGAAATTAAGCATCTATCAAAAAGTAGATACAGGGTCATCCTACGAGGATAATGAATAATCCTCTCATTCCTCCTCAGACTCTATCCCTCTTTTCCCAGGGCTTATCTCACTCACCAAGATCAACAGCCTCAAGTTCCACCTTCGGAAAATGAGCCATATGGACCTGCGCACTCGCAAAGGGGACAAAACGCGCGCTGAACGGCTTCCCTTTTACCTGCGGACTGAGCGGCGGGTCCGCAGGCGAATCCCACGCGATCGGCCAGTCAATTTCTGTAGCTGCGACGCGTAGTTCTACGGGCGGAGCCCCGAAGGCCCAGGCCGGGCTTGCAAGTTCCGTAATTCCTGAAGAGATGACCTTGATTTGCGAGGGATCAATGGCAACGTTCCAGAGATCTGTGGTCTCGATGATGTGGTCGCGCGTCTGCACCGTCGTGCTAGAAGGGTCGATGGAGCCCCCGTCGTATCCGACCGGGTCTCGTGTCGTTTCGTTGAATTCGAGGGCCAGACTGTACAGTAAGGGGCCGTAGTACACGGCCGCTGTGTTGTTGGCGCGTTCCACGACGCGCGGCTCTGTTTTCAAAGTTACAGAGACCTTGCTCTGTCCTTTCGGAATATCGAATCTATGCAGCCCAGCGGCCGTCGGTGAGATACGGGCGCTGTCGCCGGAAGCCTTTGTAACACTGCTGGATGGGTGAGCCCAAGTTGGGATTCTCACGTAGAATGAGAAGTCGTCGTCGGCCGATATTGAGTAGCTTAGGTCCATGCTAAATGGATAATTCGTATCCGCTGAGATTGTAACTTCGTTGTTGTTGCTATCGGTGAGCGTTGTAGAGACAGTTCCAGGGGAAAGGAAGACATGTGCGATACCTCCATCTTCGGTCGTAACGAAGGCGTTAGCGAGGAACTTGGAGTAACCTTGCGGATGATTCACGGTGCAGCAGGGCTAGCCATGTTAACAGCGTCTCAAAATAACGCCAATGTGATATCTTAACTCACATAATTCGGTTCCAAGCCAAACACATTCCCATAACTGCTTACATCCTCCCACATCTCAGGGTACACTGTGAGGTTCCTTGCCCATGGCTGAAATGTGTAAGCAACTACTTCGCCGTATTCGCTAGATAACTCACCTGATTCTCTTGCTGTACGTATTGGTGTGACCACCAGTCGGGCCAAATCTGTCCGGGGAAGGCGTTAAACGCTGTCAGTTCTACCCAATCCGCGATATCGTTATCTGCTAGATACTGGTATACCCAAGAAAGGGAGAACATCAATTCCGCCGAGGTACAGAGCTCGGAGCCTTTGCTTGGGTTCAGGTCGCTGATCAGCTCATCGCCAATGATGGTTCCTGCGAGTGATTTGTGGTGTTTCGCCACGAGGTCGACTGCTGTTCTTGTCTGAGTCTTTAGCGCCTCATCATGGGATGTACGATATATAGCCAGAGGGAACCGGATAGCTGCATTGCTTCAGTATTTCTCCCGAGGACTGCCGATATATCCCACGTAATTCCGCTTACCCTCTGCCAAGTTCACACCATGCGTGAATAGCCATGTATACGCCTGATCTCTCGGGGCGTATACGACCTCTGGGAAAGTCCCTTTGACAAAGAAATCCCTCCAATCAGTGCCGAACTGTAGATGATGGGTTACTCTTATTAGTAATCGAAATACATTGAAGATATGACCATCCTAGATTATATAAAAACAAGCTTCCCGTTTCCAACTGTCGTTGGTTCGAAGTACGGTAATGTTAACCTGAGAGTAAAAGTCACATACCACTGTGCTGCCCTGAATCATGAGGTCCATCGTTTCCCAGATCAAGTCGGAATTGTTCTTAGGGTAGTTCTCGTAAAGCCATTGTAGCGGAATATGCACTACAAGATATCATGTCAATGATCACCGGTTTGGTCGTATCAAGCTATCAGAAGCTTGAAGCTTATCGTAGTATTCAAGCCTAGAAAGAGGTTTTGGATATTCGAAGTAGCTGAAACAGGAATAAAGTCCGAGAACTTACTTTCGTGAGCCCTCGCTGGTCCCCATCCGGATCCGTCAAACACATCACCTGGCTTGGGGACCAAGCCTGTGAAATTATCTTGAAGCATACTGTGAACGAGTTCAGTATATTCATGCATAGCATCGACGATTCTGTCCGTCTCAGAAGGATCGGCTTGGGCGTATTGCTGATGAACTTTGTCAGTATCGCTTGTGATGCCTCGCCACAACTAAGGGGAGTTTGTATCACGACTTGAGTGAAATTAAGACTTTTTACACCATAATCGTCATTTTCGGAATGAAGATTAAAAGAAAGACAGTAGTACAAACCATGAGTCCAAGCATAATATAGCACCGCCCCCACAGGCCTCGAGTCTGTAGCGTTGTCTCTGGCCCGATCCAGCCATCGTCTTGCTGGTGAGCAAGGATATAGTCCAAGAAGAATTTGACCTGACCCTTTAACCTGGAGTCATCGAGGCCGAAGGCAAGAGGAACGAGGCCATTGAACCAGTATCCCGCCGATTCATGTAAATCGGAATATTCCGAGTTGCCGCCCAGCCACTGTGAATCTTTGACATAGCGATAAAAGTTAAACAAGTTCCCTGCAAGCCCGCTGGCTGATTTTTCCAACTGATCCTTAAGCCACCCTTGAGGCTTCACTGATCCAAGAGGCAGTGCTTGGTAGATTGGCTGTACAACTGGCTTCGTATTAGTTAGAGTTTGTAGCTTAATCCATTTTTATCACCTACGCTCATTGCTTGTCGTTGAATTCACGGGTTGTTTATCTTGAGGGTAAGCTATGGTCTTCGTGGCTAAGAGAGCCAGCACGGCCGGAAGGGCTCTTGCCACACTGATTGAAGTTCTCATGTTGGTGTAGCGATATTCTAATATGTTGCACAGGAAGGAACGTAGAATAGAAAAGTGACCACCAGGCAATGATACCAGTGATATACCAATGATAGCAAAGTGATAATGCTATAGGGCGCCCATCTAGCTCTCGCTCGGGCGATCCCCTAAGCAGTGCACCCAAATCAGATATAGCTATACTGGCAGTCCTATCGGTGAAGCAAAGACACTTATAAGACGTTAAGACCCAGGGGTTTGGCAAGCGTGTGAGGGGCCGGGTCGAGCCTGGAATGCAGGCATGAGCTTCATATTGCATCCAAATCCACGGGTGTCGCTCCCGGGATTATCCCCGGTATCTCGTCTGCCAACACATCGACTTGCTGCTGCCATTTTGTTTGGTCGGTGGCCAGCCCATGAGCCGTGTGACATGCATATTATGCAGCATGGCAAGTTAAGGCAACCTCGTTTCCCCGCGCTTCATTCACGGTCATCTCGACGCACGTATGCTTATAGTAGCTTCCCCTCAATTGCCAGTGTCAGATGATACGGTGACAGTGTTACAGCACATCGTTTTACGAGTCGCGCATCTCTTTTGTGCCCAGATGACGTGACCAATGAATGGTGACTGGTCTACACTCCAGTCAACGCGCGAGCTTGTCCACGCCTTGCTGATATTACACAGAACATTGGGATAGCTTGGCGACCCAATTGATGAACTGCTTTTGATTTCTTGCGTGCTCATATATCATGACAGCCTTTTTTTTTTTTTTTTTTTTTTTTTTTTTTTTTTTTTTTTTTTTTTTGTGAGGGGGCGGGTATTAAAGTTTTAGGTGGTCGAAAAAACAGAGCAACACTGCAGGGGTAGGGGTGTGTGGTCTTGCGTGGTTGGTG